TTTTTAACTTTTTTTTTCATTTTTAATTTAATTTTTTTTTTCTCTTTTATTTTAATTTTTTTTTCTTTTTCATTTTTATTTTAATTTTTTTTTCTTTTTCATTTTTATTTTAATATTTTTGTTTAATTTTATTTTTGAATTCTCCATCAGTGTAGAACTTCTATGGTGTACTGCCAAAGTACTTCACTTTAGAGGTTTAGAGCAGCTTCTCGATCAGCGATTTTTTTTATCAACGAGAGAGTTTTGCAGATACCGACTTTAACGTCAGGTTAAAAAAAGATAACATCGGAAAAAAGTCGGGACATTCAACCTTCATTACGAAACATGAATAGAGCTGATCAATTTCGCGACATAAGAGTAATCAGTAAAGCTCAATAACTGTCTCCGAATCGACGAAAACGTAAGGTAATCGATCATGTTGTGATAAATATCATACAAGTCTGCCCGGTGAGAGACCACTATCTTGGCTCTGTGTAGCCCAGAACGCTCGTAAGCAAAACCAAGAAAGGCTCGGCCTGGACGATCTACAATCCCAACAGATAGCCAGTCAGTTTTTTATTCGGCTTTCAGTCGCATCCATTAATAACTCAATAAATCGGAGCACCGCCAACGAAATTATTGTTTTCACAAGACTGACTACCTCCTCAGGTTACGTTCGACTCCAACGTCATTAAGTATCCGACTATAAATCAGCTTCGAACTAGTTATATACTAGTTCATTTATACATTTTGAATTTGTACTCAATAGTAACCTGCGCAAACAGTAAGATTCGAATCGTGCATCTTAAGCATGAAAGCGACAGCCTGCAACCACTCGGCTATCATGACGATACGAATAGTTACAACAACGTGCAACGTGTTAATTTTTAAAATATCACGGGAGAGCTTAATTTTCGAATGCTTTAAGCTCATGATAGCATTCGTAAATTAAGCTCTCCCGTGATATTTTAAAAATAAAGACAGCACACTGATGGTGTGGAATTGGTACTTTCCCATCTTTCCATCTCAGATTTAGTAGGTACATCTGCGCTTAGTTACACTTATCCTCAGCTCCTAATGTTCATCATTATATCAACTCCAATGCATTTGACCACATTTTTGCATTTGGCCACGAATTATATAATTTGATTTTATAATTTACAATTGCATGAAAATAGCGAAGGCCTACTTAGATACATTCATCGGTTGATTATTAGACAAAAAATTGGAAAAATAAAAGTCGAATACTAAAACATTTACAATCTAATTAAATGCACTAAAAATAGTCAAACAAGTGTTTTCACTCAAACTACGTTTAATTCCTAAAACCACAAATTAAGTTATGAAAGTGATTTTAAAAATTTTTCATTTGCACAACAACACAAATTATAACCGAGATTTATTAATAAAGTACTTTAATTTTTTTTATTAATATTGCCTTCTACATATATATACAGGCACTCACGTATCTGAGAATAGTCTGTCAGTCTGCCAACACAAATATCACAAAAATTAAATTAAATCACAGCAAAGCAAAGCAATTTCGTGCATATGTCGGGTGGCAGTAAAACAAAACAAAAGCCAAGCACTAATTCTAGGGAGCACATAAAACAATAAACAACCGCTCTAAACAAAAAATAGAAAAAACAAAATTCACCATATGTATGTTCGTAAATTGTCAAAATAATGACAAACACACAAATTATATTATTATTGACTGCAGTACTTAGCGTCATGTGATTAGATGAATATACATACATACAGATGCATGTACTTAAGTTTAATGCACAGTATAAAATGTGTATCTCAAAAAAATATCATAAAACTAAAAATAGTACAACAAAATCAGAAAAAATAAAATCAAATAAATAAAATAAAAAAAATTAGAATAAAATAAAAAGAAATTTAAATTAAACTTTACAAAATTAATGGAAGTATCAACAAAAAATTAAAAGTATTTAAAAATAATTAAAAATAATATCAATTAGAATTTAAAACAAAATAAAATAACATAAAATAAAATTAAACAAAGTAAAATAAAATAAAATAAAATTAAAAAAAAATATGTTTTTATATTAAATAAAATTAAATAATTTAGAATTAAATATAAAAATATAAAATTAAAAAATAATATTGGTAAAGTAAGAGGTTGGTTCGGTTTTTTTATTGATTTTTCAAAATATGATGACTTTGTGTACGATTGTCCGATCTAAGTCAAATATGCGCCGTTTTGCTAGTTAACTTGGTTGCCAACGAGATGCCAACTTCGAAGGGTGTGTCCCTATTGTCAAAAAACTCGGAGAGAAAATTTGCACAGTCCTCTCTTGAGGCCAACTTCTCACCATACCATTAAGCGCGTTTGCCATGGACAGGAAAATATTGTAATCACTTGGTGCCAGGTCCGGACTATAAGGTGGGAGCATTAGGATTTTCTGGCGCGTCACCAAAGATGTGTGTGGCATGGCTTTGTCCTGATGGAACACCATTCGGCCTCTGTTGATCAAATTGGCCTCTTCTGGATGAGTGATGCGTTCGAGGGGTCAAGTTCTTGGCAGTAGGGGAGCAGCTCGTATTAGATGATTTCTTGCCAATCCTGCCAAACATACAGCAAAACCTTTCTGGACGTCCATTCGGTTTTGGTCATCGCTTGGGCCGCTTCCCCGAGCTTGACCACGACCGTTTGCACTCGATGTTGTCTTAAGTAACCCATTTTTCATCGCCAGTCATCATCCGCTTCAGAAACGAGATTTTGTTGCGATTCAGCAGCGATTCACAGTTGGAAATTCGGTATATCGTGCTTTTTTGCGTTAGTTCGTGTGGCACCCAAACTTCGAGCTTCTTTTCGAATCAAATGGTTCCAAACGGTTTACTTTAGTTCCTCAGCAATTAAATAAGTGCTCACTTGATTGTCTGTTTCGGGCCCATAAACTAAATTAATCTTTTCAGCCGCTTTGGCTGCTTTTTCGCCTTGATCCAAGAAAAATTGTAAAATATAGCGAATTTTCTCCAAAATAAATGCATTTTTTTTACGTTTATTTTCAAAACCGCAAAATGGGTAACCATGTGTTAATTTACATATCCGAAATGTTGGTTGGAGTGGTAAAGTTTTCCAATTTCGATGATTTTCGGTGATAATGTTAAGTTGTAGATAAGAATGTAGAATGCTAAATTTTTCTCTCTTAGATGCTTTTGTGACGTATTTTTTTACCCAAAATTTCATATCTTAATTCTTTTTTTTAACCAATAATTCTTTCTTGAACAATTACTGCTTTAATTGTAAAAGAGGATTGGAACTACTGACAGCTTAAATCTAACTAATTTTAAAAAGGCTGATTGCTATGATTTAACAGCTTATTTCAGTTTTAATATTTAACATTGGCTGTTAACGCTTTAACATTAACGAAAAGAAATTTATTTCGATAACTGATAACATTTCCAAATTTTGCAATCGAAACGATAGAAATTTTACGATTAATGTGAAATTTATCGTTACGAGGCAGACTTGCAATAAAAGATATAAACACAATAAATGAAACTAATAAATAAAAGTAGATTTTATTTAATAAAATCTAAATGAGTAAGCTAAATATTAAAAAACAATATACAAAAGCAAAATAAAGAAAATTTAATTTACTATACCTTTTTTTTCGTAATAAATTTAGAGAAATAAAATAATAATGTAAGAAATAATTTAAATTCAGGTAAACCAAATTCAATGAAATAAAAACAAAAATAATAATAATAAATAAAGAAGATACAAGAACTAAATGAAATGAAATAAATATTAAATTCAATTAAACAAAATAAATAGATAAACTAAAATAAATAGATAAAATAAAATAAAATATGACAAATCAAAAAAATTCTGATGCAATGCAAACAAAAAAATTTATATAAATTAAAAAAATTAAATATAAAATAAAATAAAATAAAATAAAGTAAATAACATTAAATAGATAAAATAAAATAAATAAATAAGATTCATAAATTCCATAAATTTAAATAAGACAAAAAATAAACAAATAAAATTAAACTTAATTTATTAAAATAATTAAAATAATTTAATTAAAAAGTAAATGAAATAAAATTAAGTTAAATTAAAAAACTCGCCTGTTTACCCTGTTTTTCTTCACAATTTTATGCTTTACTACAATTAAATTTATTCAAACCTCTTCTAGGCTAATTGAGTGTGTTATATGTTATAAAACACATAAAGTACGAGAAATATTATTCCTAGAATAAACATCTTTATAAATTACTCGCCATAAAAATTTCATATTATTATGGTTAGCTTCATTATTCACCTTTTATGGCATCGTCAACGTTATTGCACGCTCTCTTACCTGCAAAGAGAAATAACAAAAAAAATTGTTTGGATAAGTTGAATGATAACAATAATAGTTAACTTAAATAGAGATAAAAATTTTGAATTATTTTTTTTTGTGTTGTAAATAAAAAGGAGTGTGACGAACAGTGGCTTAAATATGATAGGAGCTAAATCATCTTATGAAAATAAATTTAAATTGATCTTTCAGATGATTCTGGTAAACGGCGCGCCAAATGTGCCATTAAAGGAAATTTTCTGAAATAGTTTGGAGATACTAGAACAGATGCAAGCACTAGTTTAATTTTACATTCTCATTTTTTCCCGACAACGCCAATTGATGATACCAACTTTCTCTTAATTTTCATCTACCAGGCTGGAGAGAAAATTATAGTGATTGCTCCGCTTCCTTCTAAGAGTAAAATAAACTTCGCTCCTATTGCCGTATTCAGTATCTGCTTACTTCTCTAATAATATTTTTGACTTAAAAAAAGTAGCTTGCGGAGCTCTGAAGCCCGTCGCCTGCACAAAAGTTTACTAAAATATCATAAAAAACCAACGACCACCGAAAGACTCAAATTTGGACAACTTTTTCCAAGAAAAATACATACAAACATACATTCAGTCAAAGATAGGTAACATGCATTATATACAATAAAAGTATGTGCTTATATACCCAGACTGCCACTACATTTACCTGCTTGACATGTTCACGCTTTGCAAAATCAATTTGACCGGGACTGTGATCAGCAATGCTCAGCCGATCGCCTGGCTGCGCGGCCAACATTGTCGCCGTCGTTGTGGTCAACTGCCACGTATCTGTTGTAGACGCTGCTGCTTGTTGTGTCGTTGATGTTTGTGGCATATTTTGTGTTTGTGTTTCATGACCCGCCGCCGAACGTGTCTGCTCCACTCTTGCATTGAACAAATGCGTTAATGACTCATTCACTTGGCGACCGACGGTGGCAGTGGCGATCGCAGGCACTGAAATCGAGTCAATGTTACCATCCACAATGGCGCTTGTTATGGGTTCGATGAGTTTGTCGATCAGCGTATCAGATGTCGATGATGAGTTGGTGGTGGAATTTGCTTCACCCGACGCGCTGCTGTTGATGTGTGCACTCGAAAAATTCCGTATACCAATTTCGATGATAATTTTATTTTGCCCTGCCGCCGCTTGATCACCACCAGTAATACCGTTAGCTCCTCCTGCATGATGATTGCCAGCAAAACGTTGCAAATTTTTGGGATGTGTTGCCGCTATATAATTCAAATCGCTACGCGACAAATGATGTTGTTGCAATGTCGAATATTGTTGTTCGACGAGTGCGGCACGTGTTTGCACCGCATTGGCACCGGTCGCCGCTGCCGAATCGCTGGCGACTTTTTCGCGCAATTTGATTATGTTCGATATATTGATACTGTTCGTGAGTGTTATGCCGACAATGCAGACGAGCACAATGGTGAGTATGACGCCGAGTATGACCAGTGTGTGTACGCGAAAACATTTCCGGCTGCACATTGTTTGTTATTGTTTGCGCAATGCTTTGACTATTGGCCAAATGGCGGCGGTGAGTTGAGTACTGCAGACAGTGGGAAGTGGAGAGAGAGAGAAGCCAACAACCGCAATAAGACGGTGGTAGGCAAAGTAGGGGTGAAGAGTAGTCGATTGTGGTGGCGTAGTATATCGCGGCGTCGTGTAGTTGATAAACGTTATATTAATGCTGCAATATTTTTTTCGGGTTCTCTTATGTCAATGGAAATGCTGTAGAAGCAATCGAAATATTTTGATTTATATTTTTTTTTACTATAATTTTTTCATTATATAAAATCTTATATATTTTTTTTTTTTTTTTTTTTTTTTTTTTTTATTTTTTTTTTTTTTTTTGAGTTTGAATAAATCTATTATTTTATTTTCATTTTTTTACTACAGCTTCTTCACGTAAAACATTATATTTCTCAACGTTAGCACAAATAATTCTAGATATTGAAAGAATTAAAATGATCTGAAATTTCGAAAAATGTCACTTTTGGATCTTTGCAAAAACAGAGCAGAGTATACTTTTTTGCGTTAATATAATTTAATTTCATGTTTTATTTCTCATTTTATTTTTATTTCTTTTCTTTTTATTTATCCTTTCTATTTTTTTCATTTTTGCTTGGAGAAATGTTTTTTTAATTTTAACTTTATTCCATTCATTTTTTAGTCGTTGTTTGATTATTATTTATAAATAATTATTAATTAAACTTTTTCAGATATATAAAATGAGAATTTTTTGTCCACTTTCAAAATCTTTTAATTACTATTTTTATAATAATAGTACTTAATTACTTTTCTTTTTATATATTTATTGATTTATTTTAATATATTTTTCAATATTTTTAATAACTTTTGTTAATTTTTTGTTTTTTTTTTTTTTGTAATTTATATTTATTTATATATATGCATCTACATATATATATAATTATATACATATCCTAAATTTTTTTTTGGAATTCATAAAATTCAATTTTAAATTTCCCTTTAATTTTAATTACATTTTATTTTTTTAAGTTAAAATTTAAAAAGAATTTATTTAATTTGCTTATTAATACATATTTTTTGAATATTTTTTTGTAATAGTTTAAATTGTTCTTTAATTTTTTTTAACTAATATTGTAATAATAAATTACTAATTTCTGTCAAAAATCTTTATTTTACCTAAAAAAAAAAAAAAATTATTGGATTTTATTTAAAAACTTAGATTCATTTTAAAACATTTGTCAATTATATAAAAATATTTAGTCAACTTTCGTCGAAATATATTTTTACTTTTTGCTTTATTTTTTGTTACTGTTTTGTTTATTTCATAGTTCTTAATTTATTTCATTCAGAATTTCTTCATTTAACTTTATTTTCATTATTTGTCCATTAATTTTTTTCTTTTCTTATTAATTTTTTTGTACATAAGGTTTTTTTTATATCTTTATTTATATATTTATTTATTTGTTTGTTTATTTATTTACATGATTAATTACGTATTTCTTTATGGATTTATTTATGTATTGATTTATTATTATATTTATTTTGTTATTTATTTATTTATTGATTTATTTATATATTTATTTATTTATTTATTTTTTTATTTATTTATTTTTTTATTTATTTATTTTTTTATTTTTTTATTTTTTTATTTATTTATTTATTTATTTATTTACTTATTTATTTATTTATTTACTTATTTTTTTATTTATTTATTTATATTTATATTCTTTTATCATTTATAGTTATTTTTTATCTTATTTTATTCCTCTTCCTTCTTTTTCGTACCATATTTTTGAATTCTTATTTACATTTATTTATCTTTTTGTTTCTTATTATTATTATTTTATTTTTATTTATTATGTGTTTTTTATTATTTACTTATGTCTTTATTTATTTGTTTATTAATCTATTATATTTGCCTTATCCTTTTACTTAACTTTAATTTTTTATACATATTTTTTAAATGTTATTTAGGATTATTGCTAATATTTATTCTTTAATAATTGTTGCTTCTTATTTAATTTTAATATTTTTTTTTTTAATTTACTTTTAATAGATCTTTTATTATTAGTATTATCTGCTCTATTTTTTTAATTTATTTTTTTTTTTTTTGTCAAGATTCATTTGTTCAGCTTTTTTAGCCAATGTTTAGCACTAAAATTTCTTTTCCTTCCTTTCAGAAACATTTATTTACCTTTCTGCAATCGTTTGTTTTTGTTGTTGTTGCTTGTAACTGTGTTTTGAATGCTCTATTTTATTTTTTACTTAATTTTGCTTAATATAACATTTATTCTATCGAGATTTGAGAACTACGGCCTTTTGGTTTTTTTCCTTTAGAATTATTTATTTGATTTTGCTTTATCGAAATTTTTTAAATCACTTACTTGACAAAAAATTTCTTTGCTTCTCAACACAATTTTTTTTTTAATTTTTCAAAAGGCACAAATATTTTAATTTTCATAAAAATTACAACAACAATTACTGATTTTTGTCTGATATTTTCATTATCTATGTTCTTGCCTTTCTTTAGCGAGTTCAAATATTTCTAATCCCCGTGTTCTTTTCGAATATAAAAACTGAGTGTTTATCTCGCAACAACAGCTGCAATCTCTCAACGCTGTACATACGTTGACTTACAAAAGTCAGGCCAAGCGACAATGAATGACTCGATCAACAAGTAAGTAAGGCAAAACTTAACAGTACATAAACAAAGCGTATTAACGCATTCCTTTTTCACTTCAAAATTTATTCCATGCCACCTCACTTATCCTATGCCACTTTATACGCTTTTTTAAGCCAACTTTGTTATATTATTTCTTTTGCTGAATTTTTTTACATTGTTGCACCTTTAACACCGCGTTTGCCCCACGCTGCCCGCTGTTTGTTGCCGATCACTTTGTTGTACAACACGCGTTCGCATACAAAATAGAAAAACAAGATATTTCGTTATGTATACGCCGTCGTTGTCGGTACTGTCACCGATCGTACACGCTCTACCGTCGTCTGTCTACAACGTTTCGCAGCTGAGACACGAATGAAACCGCACAAATAATACAAATATAATACAGACAAGCGATGTCGACGCGTTGCGTTGCGCTGCCCGGTGGCATTAACAGCTGCGTCGCATTTAAGTTCGGTTTAGTGGAGGCGAATGTATTTAGAGAAGTAGAAGAGGCGCGAGAGTTAGCGTCAGAAGTTACTGCAAATTGTCAGCTGTTTGTATAAAGCTTAACGATTCACTCACGTTTTGCAGCGCACGCGACCTCAATTGTGTTGTAATAAATCAGAAGTATAAAATAAATATTATTACATTGAAATAGCTACTGTGGGAGAGTAGTGTTAATGTATGCTATATTAACATTCTCTTTTATTTATTGTGTTATTGTGCTCAACGATCAACAGTTACGTTTGTTTACTCCTCTCTGTTGCTTCGACGCTAACGTGCTGTACTCACAGCTGTTAACTTCAACAAATGTTATTGTTACAGTTGTCTGTTACCTGTTGATTTCCAGAGCTATTTTGTATTTGGTAACTTGATTCGGCCTTTATATTGTCGTTGCAGTCACCGGCGACGTTAGCGCCGCTGTTAAGGTGTGTAATGTAGGCGTCACTGCAAACAGCAGTGGAACTCGTTGTATAACCATGTTTGGTTTATTTTTGCATTCTTTTTGAGTGCGTTAACACAATTAACGGTATTTATATATTTTTATGACTGTAAAATATTGTGCTTTTATAAATTTATTTTAAGGTAGTTATTATATGCTTAATACCCTTACTGCAATAATTAATATGCATATGTTGGCAAAATGTTATTGCGTTTTTAAGTTTGTTTATGGCGTACAGCTGTTCTCCTTATGGTGATTTAAACGTATTTAATATACAATATTTTGAAAAAAAAATTTATCAGGACGTAGTTTTTCAAATTATTTTCTTTTATCAATTAATATGAATTATTTTTGTAGTAATAATTTAATATTATTACCTTGTTTTTTTTTTTCATTTTTATTTCATTCAAAGCCACTATTTTAATGTTATTCATAATTCATAAAAATATGCATATTTTTATTATTAATCATTTAAATTTTATTTTCCTTTCTTTTTTCAAGCACTTCACCACACAGCTGTTTCTCAAATTATTAATTTATTGCCTCTTACATTTATTTATTTCCATTATTTTGCAAAGATTTGCAATTTTTATTAAATAACAATTGAATAAAAATCATCAACACTTTACGGCGTGTTGTTGATGTGATTTTTCGCTTTTTCTCAATTGCATTTAATTTACAATAAATATTGGCAATTTTTTTTCTCCCTTTTTTTGTCTTAATTTATGTATGTCTCACATACGCTTTTGGCGTTGACGACGTAAACAATTATAAATATGTACGTATACGTATATGTGTGTTCGTCGCTCTTCCACAGCTACCTGCCGTTATTTTATGTCAATCTCACCACTGGTTAACTGGTTGCAATTGGTTTATTGCTGAAATATTGGTTTGTCACGTTAGTAGTCTAATATGGTTGAGTTTTGTAGTTTCACTGATGATGGTTGATTGGGTCTTTGGCACTTTGTTCCACTTTCCTTTAAATATTCACTTTTTCAATTTTGATTTTTAATTTTCAGTTTATACTAGTCGCAGAAAATATTTATTTTATTTTTCACCACAAAAAAAACGGTCATAGATGTTAGATTATCATAAACATGATATCTTCAAGGAGAAAAATAATTAATTATTCCAATTGCAATAATCTACATTAAAAATATAATTTTAAATATAACATTCACTTGTTCAGTTCTCTTAAGTATGTTTTTCTTAGTTACTTGCAATATTACTCTATATTTATAAATGTTTTATTCTTTATTAACAATATATATATTACTAATCATTCGTCTTATTTTTTACTACTTTTTATGTTATAATAAATTACTTTTTTTTCATTTTATTACATTTTGACTTTGTTTTATTTTATTTAAGTGTAATAATATTATTCATTTGATTTAATTCAATTAATTATCCTTGAAAGTACTTAACTTGATTTTTTCTTTATTTAATAATATTTTATTTTGATTTATTGCATTTTATTATATCTTATTTCATTTTTTTTAACCTATTTTTTTTTTAATTTTTTATTTTATTTAATTTTATTTATATTTTATTTTATTCACTTTTTTATTTATTTTTATTTTATTTTGTTATTATATTTTATTATATTATTATATTGTATATTATTTTATTTTTATATATTTTTTTAATTTTATTTTTTTATTTATTTTCCTTTTTAATTTTAACTTTTTATTTAATTTTATTTTT